CTCACAAAATGCAAGCCTGAATTCAATAATTATAACAGAGCATGTTTTAATAAATGTAACATAGCTGATACAAAAAAATAAACTCAAGATAGCAATTTTAAGACTTTTTTTTAAATATGCTAAGGTGATATAGTAGGTTTTATTTTTAATAACAACATGTTTTATTATGTATTATAATATTGTTACTATACAAAAAAGTAAAAAAAAAAAGCACAATATTTTCCAGCATATAGAATATAAGACTCCATGTTCTACAAATATTTTCTCAGCTATTATACGCGGAATAGTAACCAAACAGTGAATTTGGCAAAGCTTAGACCAAGATACTTTAGTTGGAAAAAATGTCCAGCTTTGCTATTTTCCCAACTTTACTGTGGCCTACATGTTACAATTGTCAGTTCCCCACAATTCACTGTTTAGTACACAAGGTATGTTGGTTATCTGTTTATCTTGAGATAAATGGCACCTTTATAGCTTGGACATCTTCATGTAAAAAAAAAATTAGTCCACTACAATATTTGCAACAAATGACTTTACCAGGACATCTTATAGCCCACTTAATCATCAAATGTTTCACTTCTTATACATCACAATCTGGTCTCCACAAAGATCTTTGCCAGTATGGGCTGCCCTGCTTATTTCACATTGCAAGCTCCATGCAGGTATGACACTTTTAACTGAATGAGTGATACCATTTTGGAACATGGTTCTCAAAAAAAGATTTGACATGATAGACTTTGCCCTTATGGGGTTAATGACTAACACCAGTGAAACTTTTCCTCATATGAACTAGTTTTCAACTATGTCCTTACCCTGTCCTATTATATAGTATTTATTAAGTCTGGGAAGAGTCAGTTATCACTTTTCCCACAAATTATGGCAGTGATTGAGGCATTAAAGGGACATTGTGGTCACCCTGACCACTCATTCTCAATGAAATGGCCTGTGTGCAGTGTGCCTGTTCTTTCAACCTGGCAATATAAAACATTGCAGTTTTTTTTAGAAACTGCAATGTGTACGCTGCAGGGTTAAGTCCCAACAGCCACCAGAGGTGCTTCCATTGAAATGAAGTCACAAGACACGTAAACTCCATCAGGAAAGCATTGATTTAAAGATTTCCTTAGAGGAAGCTTGACTATATGCATGGCGCAAGGACCTGTAGCACTGGAAAAGGGTAAGAACCCAGTGTGGGTATATGTCTGTCAAACACCTGGTCAGGTGCTTGGCCCTTTAACAGCACAACTGGGCTCCCTTCTAAACAGCAGCATGGAAGGAAGAGAGTGCCTGTCACTTCCTCTCAAAGAGATGTGGAGCTTTGTGTGAAAGAGGAGGAGAGGGCAGAGAAGAGGTGGGCATGGACAGATAAAGCCAGCTCCTAGTTCCCAACAGCCTCAGCCTGCAGACTAGACGTCAGGGAAACCACTCACCTGCACTCAAAAGGTAGGAAACTGAAGAATTGCTATAAACGTGTAAATTTTCACCAGCATGTGTGTCTGTGTGTGTCAGTGTGTGAGTGTTTGTATCTGTATGTATGTCAGTATCTGTGTCCGTGTATCTGTATGCATGCAATTGTATCTGTGTTTCTGCATGTTGTCATATGTGTATCTGTGTACATTTGTATCTATATGTTTGACAGTGTGTATTTGTATTTGTGTCAGCACAGATCTGTGTTTCAGTGTGTATATTTATGTATCTGTATGTTGTCAGTATGTGTATCTGTGTATCTGCCTGTGTGTTAGTGTGTGTATCTGTCTGTCAATGTGTGTATCTGTGTTTTTCTATGTGTTTGTGTATCTGCATGTTTGTTATAGTTTGCATCTCTGTGTCTGTCTATCTATGTATGTGTGTCAGTATGTGTACATCTTTGTCTTATATTGGCATGTGTGTCAGTGTGTGTATCCCTTTTTTTAGTGTGTATGTCTGTGTATCAGCATGTGTTTCACTGTGTGTGTCTGTGTATCTGCACGTGTGTCAGTGTGTGTATGTGTACCACAGTGGGTGAGTGGCAGTGTATGTCTATATGTGACTGCATCTCAGCATTTACATGCTAACACAACACACAAATACGCCCCTGCATTCAAACATCAACACTATATACAAGCACACTGTATTAAATGTCAACATACAAAAAATGCACCCTGCATTAAAAAATTAACACTGCACATAAATGCATGTTTGCATTCAATTCCAACATTACATACAAACACATTCCTACATTCACACAAACATACTACATAACAAACATGCTTACATTTAAACACACAAACACTCTTTAGTGCTAAGTACAGCCCTGCAAGCATGGGAAAATGGTAAGAGACCCAGTTGTCAAAGCATTGTGGGAAACGTGATATCTACCTTTTGCACTCCCTTGTTATAGGTGGGTGGACAAAACAAATCTTGCACCAGCATCCTCTCTAAGTTAGTTCCACCATTGGGGGGTGTACACCTTAGTACAAATATGGACAGGGACAGTATAATGTTAGGAATACAGGTTTGTAATTCTAATGTCTTAGTATTCCTTTAAAGATAAATAGTGTCTTATTTGTAGGGCTAAACAGTAGTTGACCCACCTAGCCCTATCCTTTAGTAGCAAATTAATCTATTGTGAATGTACAGTAAAATTACATCAGCAGGGGAATCAGCAGGACTAAGCAAACCTCATTTTGTTTTTTGTTTTTGCTTTTTAAAACATTTTGTGAACATTTTTGTTCATTCACTGCCAGTATTCACAGTTACCATGGCAAAGTATTACATTCCACAATTTCACAGGTCCCCAACAGTTACCAAATATAAACTCTGCAAGGTGCATAAAAAATGTATGATATCAATTTTCTAAACTTTAGGGTACATTTTGATGATAATCATAAATAAATCTGTCCATAAGCTTAGTGTAGGAAAAAAACACTTCTCTATAGCTGATTGCTTGTGGATACGGAATCTGTAGCTTTACTGTGAAAATCTTTTGAGTTACAGGACTCTCCTCAGATTTCATAACCTGTGCAAACTCAACCACAATGGGGCCTGCTTAGTGATTCTTTTTGGATCCACAGTTCCTAATTTTAAACTTCTAACTTTTAGTTTATACTCTTTCCTTTGGCATTATCTTCTTTGGAAGCTACTCCGCATCTTCCTTTCATTACAATGATCAAAACATTACATGCAAAGTATTTAATCAAACCTCACTACAGATATCCACTCATCTTCCTTCATGGCCTTTTTTGGATTTTTTATTTATTTCCTTTAATTTTGTAAACATTACTTAGTTTATCATACAACAAAAAAAAACATAAAAAAAAAGTTTGTTCTAAATGTTTGCATCATTGTAGGTCAAAACTATTGCTTTGGGGGGTGTGTGGTCTGACTGCTGACCTACATGGCTGCTTAATTCCATGGCTCCCGCATATCCACTTGCAATCCAGCACTTTTAAACAGCATCGTACCTCACAGTGACCATACAAACTCACCTTAATGTCCTCCCGGGGCTCACCTGGAACAAAACCAAGGTGGAAAAAATGAGAACTGCAGCTATCCTCACCATCTGTTGCAGACATGTTTACAGCCTTGCACACATCTCAGGCCCTTCAATATGGCTGCCAGCCATGTTTACATGGCTCCCAGGCCCCGGCCTCGATTCCGGACAGCGAACCTCCAGAGTCCAAGCTAGGCAACATCTTCCAGATGCTAGTGAAGCCAGCTGAGGTTAGAACCTAATTGGCTGGAGAAATATCTTGCAACTCCCAGGAGGTGAAGGCCGAGGTGCAGGCCTTAGGAGTACGCACTGTGGCCCTTAAAAACCAGTGGTGCAAGCCCTTAATAGGGTGGTGAACCATTCCTCCCTAATGGAGAATGTGACGAGACCAATCTCACCACTGTGCATTGGAGGAGCCTGGTTGCCCGCCTGCTGCCTTTAGACTATGGCCCCATGTTGAAATGCTTGATTTTCCCCTGCAAAGACACGAAAGCCGGGTCATTCGGTGCTTGCCCTGTTTGAGAGGTGATACCCCAGATAGCTATGCCATGGAGCCCATTCATATAATGAAAGACTATGGGAAAGACTTTGGCTCCATGGCAATTGAACTGTATGTGTGAGATCTGAGCGCCATTCAGTAATAATGTGCGCTCAGACCTGAGCTATCTAGGGATATGTTGAATGTACCTGTTTTATGCAATGGCTGCACAGTTATATATTTTTATGTATTTTATTGTCTTTTGCTGCCACTGGAGATTTGCCTCTGTCCTTGGAGATAATTGGATTACTCTGTGGAACTGGTTTTGGGCAGAAAAGCCATGCTTCAGTTGGTCACAAAGGACTACGATCTATCTTTTGAACCACTGGACCAATTTGTATGATTTTGACGTATGTTTGTATTTGGAGTATGCTGATTATGTAAATGTGATGCATACTTGTAAAATTATGAATAATGTGGAATAACTGTATTTCTCTGCCTGTGATAATTACATTACCGATTGTGTAAGATAATTGTATCACAGGCAGAGGGGAGGATTTTGTGTGGAATTGTCTGAGTGTGTTGTACGTGTTTATTGATTGTTTTCCAAAACCCTGTGGGTGGTACTAATGTGTAAGAATGTGTATACAAGAACAATAAACCCACAGCTCTGTCTGTTCCTGCTTGACCCAGAAAACGGAGCCTTGTCTCGTTCTTGGGGGGGATTTATTGTATGCTGTTCCAGTTCGACTGCTAGGAGTCTAAACCTATTCGTATGGTTTTTCCTATTCGGCTGTTTACAGCATTCGTATGTTTGAGAGCCTTCATATGCTTCTCCGGTTCGGTGGATTGGTGTCTACAGTAGCTGCCCGTATATCTGGAAGGGAATATCTCCTAAACGGCGTTTAACCCCTTTTATGCCCGGGGTGCTGTTACAGATAACTGAGTAGCCTGGAGATGCTAGTGGAAGACCTCTCCAACCACTCACAATGCAATAACTTATGAGGCTGTGGTCTACCTGAGACGCCTAATGAAGGCCCACTCAAGCAGAAGATGGAAGACTTCTTTAAGAATATTGTCCCAGGTATCTTGGAGGAGCAGTGGACTATTGACCAAGCACACAGAGGTCAACGGGCCCATAGAGCAGATAGCAAAGTGCCATGTGGTGGCAATATTCACTTCCACTATTTCGTCACCAAGGAAGCTATCCTCAATGGCTGGGACCATGACATCACCTATCAGGGTTCGACCCTGTCCCTAAACCAAGACTTATCCCCCATCACCCTACAGAGACAACGTGATTGGAAGCCGGTGGCTAACTTACTGCAGTGCCACAAAATCTGCTTTACTTGGGGCATCCATTTAAGATTGTTCAAGGTGGGAAGAACCAACACCATTCTGCCCAGCTGCAACACAGCACAGTTCTTTCAGGGCCTCAACGTCACCCTTCCACCGGACTTTGTACTACCGGAACCATCTTACCAAGCCCCGACTACCCTACCAAGGTACTGGCACACTGCTGAAGTGGCATCAAGCCAACACAACTAAAGACATTGCTTGTAGGCCCTGCTATACAAACTGATATCCAGTGCATCATTTGACTCAAACACAGCAGTACTGGGGCGCTGTGGCTGGGGGGAGGAGGGGGAGATGAGCCCAAAAAGCTATGTCCAGCTAAATTCTCAACAACCTGTATATAATTGCCTATTAAATGTTTCTTTATTTGAATTGTTATAGAATATTAGTTATAAGCGGTTTGATGGGATGGAAGTACTATATGACTTGTAAGAGAAACTAGCCTGGAGGACCAAGATCTGACACATTAGGTCACCTAACATTATGACCTTAACAGATAACGAGGGGATAAAGTTCATAGATGGCATTTTAACACACCTTCCCATCAACCCCTAACCTTGGAACATAGACGCCCCAAGGATAGAAGGGGGAGTACCACTATATTGAGCCCTAGAAATGGAGAGGGTTACTAACAACTCTAAGTCAAACCAGGGTAATATAACAAAAGTTTTAAAAAGTTTGAACAACTACCTTACCCACATTCTTGAATTCACCTCTCTCTCTCTCTCAATAAACCAGTTGCAGTTGCAGTTGTCACCCATAAATACCGGCTACATGTTACATTGTGAATTAGCACACAATCCTTGAAGGGAAAAGGAAGTAATGAATTCTTCTTCAGGTACTATACACTATGAGTGAATAAATATAGTCTAGCACACTCTTAATGGGGAACTGTGATCAAGGTACTTAGAGGCCCACTGGAATATGGCGGGAGGCTGTCAACCCCGGCGGGTGACCATGGTTTTGCCCGACAGGGGTTGCACACACACCCAAATTATTCTGGTGAAATGTAAGGCTTGAGATATATGTACATGCTTGTTATATTTCTGTTACGTGTTTTTACTACTCTTGTTTTCTATTCTACTCTTTGGAATTCCTATACTCCTGTTGCGCTTCCCTAAAAATACCCTTTTTAAAAGGGAAGACAGTTTCCTTAGTCCTCTATTCTTCTTCCAGTGAAAAACACTTTTTCAGCACTTGTCAGTTTACAATGGGAAATGTGGATCCAAGATTTAACTTCTGTGCCTGAGCTGAATTAGTGGTTTATAACACTTGACAAGGTCCTTTCCACCTTGGTTGCAACGCATGCTTTTGTGAATGGTCTTTTATCATAACATAATCTCCATGAGTGATGGCATGCAAAGGTTGGTATTCACTTGTTCGCTGTACAGCCTTTTTACCTGCATATAGAGAGACTAATCGTTTTGTTAGCTACATGCAATATGGCATTACTAAATCATCATTTATCTCATGAGAATTACATTTTATAGGTACCCTTCCTGTGAATATTGGTCTTCCCATTAGAATTTCATGAGGGGATAACCCATGCTTTCGGGCTGGAGAGAATCTCATAGACATTAAGGCAAGAGGAAGTGCATTAGGCCACTTTAACTTTGTCTCTGCTACCATTTTTGCAATTTTGTTTTTTAATGTTCCAATGGCCCTTTCTACTGCTCCTGCTGGCTGAGGATGATGAGAGAAATACAAATGGTATGGGATTTGCAACATTTTTGCTATCTGTTGCACTACTTTTCCTGTGAAATGTGTTCCCTGATCTGAGTAAATGTGCTGAGTCAATCCATACCTGGGTATAAATTCATGTAACCATTTTTTAGACACTGTGGTCATATCGGCATGGCAACAAGGATAAGGCGCAATCCAACCTGAGAATGTATCTAATATTACCAGCACATACCAATACTGCATTACCTTCAGTAATTCAATGAAGTTCATTTGTAAATTTACAAATGTGCCTCATGAACAGGGAGGATGATTTAGCTGCTTAATCTTAGGTCCCTGACCTGCATTGTATTGTAAACAAATAACACATGAAGAACACACCTGTGCCAATACAAATTCTAGACCCAGCACCCACCATTCAGAATTAAACAACAATGATGGCAATGCTGGTCTCCCACTAAATCTACATTCTCCCCACCAAAATCACTTACTTCTTCTTCACTCAGTATCACATACAATTAATTTACTTTCAAATGTACCATAGGTTCTGGACCTTGGGTCACAGGTACACTAACAATACATATCCAGTAGGCATGTGCATGGGAAAAATTTGCGGTTCGGCATTCCGAAATTCGAGAATTCGGCACTTCGACACTTCGGCAACTTCGGTACTTCTAAACTTCGGAAATTCGGTAATTTCGGAACTTCAGGACCTCGGCAATTCGGCATTTCGGCAATTCGGAACTTCGGAACTTTGACACTTCGGCACTTCGGGACTTCGGAATTTTGGAACGTCTCTTGCAGCCACTTGGTAGATAACTCCCTAATTCCCACGGTAAAAATTACTTAGTATTAGTAAATTGTGCCCCTACTCACTAAACCTGCGAGTATGGACATGTCTATTAAACAGTGAGCAGCCAGTGGCTGCTCACTGTTAAAAAAAAAAAAAAAGGGGACTCCCCGGCCCCCACTCCTGAGCAGCGGGTGGGGGCCCTAAAGTAAAATAATGGGGGGGGGGGACTATTGCCCCCTCCAGCTCCCACCCCTGAGCGGCGGGTGGGGGCCCTAAAGTAAAATAATGGGGGGGACCTATTGTCCTCCCCCCGTCCCCACCCCTGAGCAGCGGGTGGGAGCCCTAAAGTAAAATAATGGGGGGACCTATTGTCCTACCCCCGCCCCCACCCCTGAGCGGCGGGTGGAGGCCCTAAAGTAAAATAATGGGGGGGGACCTTTTATCCTCCAACCCGGCCACCACCCCTGAGCAGTGGGTAGGGGCCCTAAATTAAAATGGGGGGGACCTAATGTCCTCCCCCCTGTCCCCCACCACTGAGCGGTGGGTGGGAGCCCTAAAAACTAATTAGGGGGGACCTAACGTCCTCCACCCTGGCCCCCACCCCTGAGCGGTGGGTGCGGGCCCTAAAATACTAATTGGGGGTGGAACTAATGTCCTCCCCACTGGCCCCCATTTTCCCACACTGTGTAATTTGACTCATAACACTCTGATTGGTTACTTAATCCACCAATCAGAGAGTTATGAGTCAAATTACACAGCGTGGGAAAATTCCAAAGAAGTTTCCCACGCTGTGTAAAATGACACAGAGCACTCTGATTGGTGGATTTCAAACCAACCAATCTGCGTGCTGTGACAGGTAAATGTAGAGACTTGCCTGTCAGTCTCTTCATTTACCTGTCAGAGCACTCTGATTGGATGGCTTAAACCCACCAGAGTGCCATCAGAGTGCCTAACTGCAGGGTGGGGCAATGCTTTATAAGCCTTCCCCCGCCCTGCAGAGCTCAATCTGCGCGGAGCCCTCCATGGGTGAAGTTGTTTTTTTCTTTTTTTGCGCTCGTTTTTTTGCATCGGTTATTATGTCTTTTTATTTGGCCTTTTTTGGGGCTGAAAAAAGAAGATTTTAGAAGAAAGAAAACATCAAATGTTTTTTTTTTTCAAGGTACTTAGTTAAATGGTCTCCCCTCATTATTTTTAGGGTGAGGGGGGTAGGTAGGGGTTAATTTTTGGGGGGAGGGTAGTGACTAGGGGTTTGGGGACCCCTAGTCACCCGGGGGAGCGGGGGTTATTTTTTTAATTTTTACCCACCGCTCAGGGGTGGGGGCAGTGGCATACATACCAGGGTCGCAGGGGTCGCGACTGTGACCAGTCCCGCCCCACCAGGGGGCCCGGCCGCCCTGCGACCCAGTATGTACCCACTGGGCCAGCCTCTTCTCCTGGGGGGCCCAGGAGCCGGCCACCTCAGTGCCCCCCGAGGCTGGCCCTGCTGACACCCGGCAGGCGGGCAGTCTGGGTGGCCGGCGCGCGAGGGAGCACTCTCCCCTGAGTTCTTCCTCTTCAGCTCCCTCGCGCACCGCACTGATACCGGAGCCGGAAGATGATGTCATCTTCTGGCGCCGGCATCCCTACGCGGCGCGCGAGGGAGCTGAAGAGGAAGCACTCATGGGAGAGTGCTCCCTCGCGCGCTGGCCACCCAGACAGCCCGCAGGACCGGCTGCCCAGGAGCCCAGCAGCCCAGCAGCACCACTGGACCCCAGGGAATCCCCTCAGCTCTCCAAAAGGTAGGGAGGCTGGGGGGATTAAATTTAAAAAAAATGTGTGTGTGTTAGTGTAAGTGTGTGTGTGTGTCTGCTAGTGAGTGTCAGTGAGTGTGTTACTGTGTGTGTCTGTTACTGAGTGTGTTTGATGTCTGTTAGTGAGTGTATGTTTGTCAGTAAGTGTATGTTTTTTAAGTGAGTGTGTATGTATGTCTGTCGCTGAGTGTGTCTCTGTCAGTAAATGTGTGTGTCTGTTAGCTAGTGTGTATGCGTCTGTTCGTGAGAGTGTGTGTGTGTGTGTCTTCAGCATTTACCTTTCTCCAGCGCCGGACTCCCTTGGCGCTGGGGATCCCTCCGCCTCTCAGCTCTGAATGCACATGCACGACAAGAGGAGCGCGTATTTAAACCGCCCATAGGAAAGCATTACTCAATGCTTTCCTATGGACGTTCAGTGTCTTCTCACTGTGATTTTCACAGTGAGAATCGCGGAAGCTCCTCTAGCAGCTGTCAATGAGACAGCCACCAGAGGCTGGATTAACCCTCAGTGAAACATAGCCGTAGTGGTCCTTTAAGTGTGTGTGCATACCGCGGTCGCACGGTCGTAGCCGTGCATCCCCTGCGACCAGGTGCCAGCCGCCATGTGTTGGGGCTTCGACCCGTGCCGAGTAAGCGCGGGGGGGGCCACGGATCAATTTACGCATGGGTCATGTGTACGCCATACCTAATTAGTATTTAGGGCCCCCACCCACTACTCAGGGGTCGGGGCGAGGGGGGAGGACATTAGGTCTCCCCCTAATTAGTATTTTAGGGCCCCCACCACCGCTCAGGGATGGGGGCCAGGGAGGAGGACATTAGGTCCCCCCAATTAGTATTTTAGGGCCCCCACCCACCGCTCAGGGGTGGGGGCCAGGGGGGAGGACATTAGGTCCCCCCCATTACTTTACTTTGGGGCCCCCACCCGCCGC